CTTCTCACTAGAAAGGGAACAAAACTGGACAGAGAATGAGTTTGATGAATTGACAGAAGTAGGCTTCAGAAACGGGGTAAAAACAAACTCCTCTGAGTTAAAGGAGCATGTTCTAACCCAATGTAAGGAAGTTAAGAATCTTGAAAAAAAGGTTAAAGAAATTGCTAACTAGGAAAAAAACAGTTTAAAAAACAACATAGATGAGCTAATGGAGCTGAAAAACACAGCATGAGAACTGTGAGAAGCATACACGATTATCAATAGCCAAATCTATCAAGCAGAAGAAAAGATATCAATGACTGAAGATCAACTTAGTGAAATAAAGCGTGAAGACAGGATTAGAGCAAAAAGAATGAAAAAGAACAAACAAAGTCTCCAAAAAATATGGGACTATGTGAAGAGAACAAACATAGATTTGATTGCTGTACATGAAAGTGATGAGGAGAATGGAACCAGGTTGGAAAACACACTTCAAGGTATTATGCAGAAGAACTTCCCCAACCTAGCAAGACTGGCCAACATTAAAATTCAGGAAATACCGAGAACACCACAGAGATACTCCTCGAGAAGAGCAACCTGAAGACACATAATTGTCAAATTCATTGAGGTTAAAATAAAGGAAAAATGTTAAGGGCAGCCAGAGAGAAAGGTCAGGTCACCAACAAAGGGAGGCCCATCAGACTAACAATGGGTCTGTGGAGAAGCCCTACAAACTAGACGAGAGTGGAGGCCAATATTCAACATTCTTTGAAAAAAAGAATTTCATAATCAAAACTAAGCTTCATAAAGGAAAAAGAAATAAAATCCTTTACACACAAGAAAATACTGAGATTTTGTCACCATCAGGCCTGCCTTACAAGAGCTCCTGAAGAAAGCACTAAATATGGAAAGAAAAAACCAGTACCAGCCACTGCAAAAACATACCAAATTGTAAAGACCATCGACACTATAAAGAAATTGCAACAACTAACAAGCAAAATAACCAGCTTGCATCATAATGACAGGATCAGATTCACACATAACAACATTAACCTTAAATATAAATGAGCTAAATGCCTCAATTACAAGACACAGACTGGTAAAAAAGAGTCAAGACCCATTGGTGTGCTGTATTCAGGAGACCCATCTCACATGCAAAGACACACTTAGGCTCAAAATAAAAGGATGGAGGAATATTTACCAAGCAAATAAAAAGAAAAAAAAAAAAAGCATGGATTGCAATCCTAGTCTTTGATAAAACAAACTTTAAACCAACAAATATAAAAAAAGACAAAGAAGGGCACTACATAATAGTAAAGGGATCGATGCAACAAGAAGAACTAACTATCCTAAATATATATGCAACAAATAAAGGAGCACCCAGATTCACATAGCAAGCTCTAAGAAACCTACAAAAAGACTTAGACTCCCACACAATAATACTGTGTGTCTTTAACGCCCCATTGTCAATATTAGACAGATCAATGATACAGAAAATTAACAAGGATATGCAGGACTTGAACTCAGCTCTGGACCAAGCAGACGTAATACACATCTGCAGAACTCTCCACCCCAAATTAACAGAATATACTTTCTTCTCAGCACCACATCACACTTATTCTAAAATTGATCACATAATTAAAAGTAAAACACTCCTCAGCAAATGGAAAAGAACAGAAATCATAACAAATAGTCTCTCAGGCCACAGTACAATCAAATTAGAACTGGGGATTTAAAAACTCACTCAAGGCTGGGCGCAGTGGCTCACACCTGTAATCCCCACACTTCGGGTGGAAGGCCAAGATGGGAAGATCATGGGGCCAGCAGTTTGAGACAAGCCTGGCCAATATGGTGAAAATCCACCTCTAATAAAAAAAAAAAAAAAAAAAAAAAAAAAGGAGAGAGAGAGAGAGAGAGAGAGAGAAACTCACTCAAAACCATACAACTACATGGAAACTGAACAACCTGCTCCTGAATGATTACTGGGCAAATAATGAAATTAAGGAAGAAATAGATCAGTTTTTGAAACCAGTAAGAACAAAGACACAATGTACCAGAGTCTCTTGGACAAAGCTAATGCAGTGTTAACAGGAAAATTCATAAAACTAGATGCCCACAGGAGAAAGCAGGAAAGATCTGAAATTTACACCCTAACATCAAAATTAAAAGAACTAGAGAAGTAAGAGCAAACAAATTCAAAAGCTAGCAAAAGACAAGAAATAAGATCAGAGAAGAACTGAAGGAGATAGAGAAATGAAAAACCCATCCAGAAAAATCAATGAGAGATTAGGGAAGATGGCCGACTAGGAACAGCTCAGGATTGCAGCTCCCAATGAAAGTGCAGAGAGTGATTGTACGCCGCATTTCCAGACGGATTTTTGTTGCCCACAGACCAGGAGATTCCCAGGCAGAGGAGCCCCATGGATTGCCAGCGTGGCTGTTTCAGCCGGTGTGGCTGTTTTGACCCACGTGGCTGCTTTGCCTGCGCCCTGGCACGGCGGTTCTCCATACAAAAGACACTGGTCTGGGTGCCCTCTTAGCTGGCGATTGGAGCCCTGAGATGGCAGAGTCGCCCATTCATCTGAAATAGTGAGCCAGGTCAGAAGATTCCTAGACAAAAAAACCAGCAGGAATCTCAGCGCTGCTGCTGGCTTAGTGAGTCATGGCACGGAGATCCCGGCACCTTTTCAACAGGCAACTGGAACACTGGGAGAGAGTCGACCATTCAAGAACAACAACAACAAAAGTCTCTGAGTCAGGGAATCACCTGATTGGTCCCACCCCCCCAACAACAACAACAAAAAAACAGTAATTGAAAACGCTCTGGGTTGAGAGTTTCACAACAGGCGCAGCTGAACCCGGGATGTTCAGGCTCTGTGGGGGAGGAGCGTCCACCATTACTGAGACACTCCACCACTACAGAGGCAGTCTGACCATTGCTGAGGCAGCCCGCCATTGCTGAGGCAAACCACTGTTGCCGAGGCAACCTGCCACTACAGAGAGAGTCCACCATAACAGAGGCGGGCCACAATCACCAAGGCAGTTATAACTACACCCATATAAATGGGACTGCAGGGAAGATCACATGACAGCTGGGCGGAGCCCACAGCAGCTCAGCAAAGCCTCTGCAGGCAGACAGCGACTAGGCTGCCTCCTCGCTGGGCAGGGCAGCCCTGAAAGAAAAGAAAAAAGGCAGCAGCACAATGGAAACTCATAAATAAAGCCCTAACTCCCTGGGACAGAGCACCTGGGGAAAAAAAAAGGGGGGGGGAGTTTATGAGTTCTGTTGCAGCAGACCTAAACGTACCTGCCCAGCAACTCTGAATGAAGAATGGAGCTCATAGCTCAGGACTTGAGCTCCTATAAAGGACAGACTGTCTCTTCAAGCAGCTCCCTGACACCTGTATATCCAAAGAGTCACCTCATAAAGGAGAGAACAGACTGACATTTGGCGGGCATCTTTCTGGGACAAAGATAGCAGAAGAGGAAACTGGCAGCAACCCTTACTGTTCTGCAGCTGCTGCAGGTGATCCTCCGGCAAGCAGGGCCTGGAGTGGACCTCAGCAGTCCTACAGCAGATGGGTCAGAGTGTTAGAAGGAAAGCTAAGAAAAAGAAGTAACTTCAGCATCCACGAACTGGAAGTTCACTCAGAGACCCAATCTGAAAGTCAGTAACTACAAAGACAACAGGTGGATAAACCCACAAAGATGGAAAGAAACCAGCGCAAAAAGGATGAAAACACCCGAAACCAGAACACCTCTCCTCCTAAAAGGGATCACAACTCCTCAGCAGCAAGGGAACAAGGCTGGATGGAGAAGGAGTGTGATGAAATGACAGAATCAGACTTCAGAAGGTGGGTAATAAGAAACGACAGTGAGCTCAGAGAACATGTTCTAACCCAATGCAAATAAACTAAGAACATTGAAAAAAGATTTGACGACATGCTAACGAGAATGGACAAAATAGAAAGGAATATAAGTGAATTGATGGAGCTGAAAAACACAACACGAGAACTTCGAGAAGCATGAACAAGTTTCAACAGCCAAATTGACCAAGCAGAAGAAAGGCTATCAGAGGTTGAAGTCAACTCAATGAAATAAAATGAGAAAGCAAGAATAGAGAAAAAAGGATAAAAAGGAATGAACAAAGTCTCCAAGAAATGTGGGACTATGTGAAAAGACCTAATCTATGTTTGATAGGTGTACCTGAATGTGACCAAGCTCCAATGAGCTTGAATGAATCCAAGCTGGAAAATACTCTTCAGGATATTATCCAGGAAAACTTCCCCAACCTAGCAAGGCAGGCCAATATTCAAGTCCAGGAAATACAGAGAACTCCACAAAGATATTCCTCAAGAAGAGCAGCCCCAAGGCACATAATCATCAGATTCACCAGGGTTGAAATGAAGGAGAAAATGCTAAGGGCAGCCAGAGAGAAAGGTTGGGTTACCCACAAAGGGAAGCCCATCAGGCTCACAGCAGATCTCTCAGCAGAAACCCTACAAGCCGGAAGAGAGTGGGGGCCAATATTCAACAACCTTAAAGCAAAGAATTTTCAACCCAGAATCTCCTATCCAGCCAAACTAAGCTTCCTAAGTGAAGGAAAAATAAAATCCTTTGCAAACAAGCAAGTACTCAGAGATTTCATCACCACCAGACCTGCTTTACAAGAGCTCCTGAAAGAGGCTCCAGACATATAAAGGGACAGCCAGTACCAGCCACTCCAAAAACATACCAAATGGTAAAGAGCATCACACAATCAAGAATCTGCATCAACTAACGAACAAAACAGCCAGCTAGCATCAAAATGGCAGTATCAAATTCACACATAACAATATTATCCCTAAATGTAAATGGACTAAATGCCCCAATCAAAAGACACAGACTGGCAAATTGGATAAAAAGCCAAAACCCATGAATGTGCTGTATCCAGGAAACCCATCTCATATGCAAGGATACACAAAGGCAAACTGACATAAGAGCAGAAAATCAAACACCGCATGTTCTCACTCACAGGCGTGTGTTGAACAATGAGAACACATGGACACAGGGAGGGGAGCACCACACACTGGGGTCTGTTGGGGGGAAATGGGGGAGGGACGGGGGGGTGGGGAGGTCAGGAGAGATAGCATGGGGAGAAATGCCAGGTATAGGTGAAGGGGAGGAAGGCAGCAAATCACACTGCTATGCGTGTAGCTATGGAACAATCTTGCATGTTCTTCACATGTACCCCAAAACCTAAAATGCAATTTAAAAAAAAAGAAAAATCAATGAATCCAGGAGCTGGTTTTTTGAAAAGATTAACAAAATAGACAGACTGCTAGCCAGAGTAATAAAGAGAAAAGAGAGAAGAATCAAATAGACACATTAAAAAATAATAAAGGAGCTATAAATATTGATCCCATGGAAATAAAAACTACCATCAGAGAATACTATAAACACCTCTGTGAAATAAAGTAGGAAATCTAGACGAAATGGATAAGCCCTACCAAGACTAAACCAGGAAGAAGTCGAATTCCTGAATAGACCAATAATTTCTGAAATTGAGGCAGTAATGAATAGCCTACCAACCAAAATAAGTCCAAGACCAGACAGATTTACACTCGAATTCTACCAGAGGTACAAAGAGGAGCTGGTACCCTTCCTTCTGAAACTATTCTAAACAATAAAAAAAGATGGACTCTTTCCTAACTCATTTTATGAGGCCAACATCATCCTGATATCAAAACCTGGCAGAGACACAACAACAACAAAAAAATTTCAGGCCAATATCCCTGGTGAACATCAAAACAAAAATCCTCAATAAACTACTGGCAAAGTGAATTCAGCAGCACGCCAAAAAGCTTATCCACCATGATCAAGTTGGCTTCATCCTTATGAGGCAAGCCTGGTTCAATAAACACAAATTAACAAACACAATTCATAACATAAAAAGAACCAATAGAAAAAAAAAACCGTGATTATCTCAAAAGTAAAAAAAAGGACTTTGATAAAATTCAACACACTTCCATGCTAAAAACTCTCAATAAACTAGGTATTGATGGAACTTATCTCAAAATAATAAGAGCTATTTATGACTAACGCACATCCAATATCATATTGAATAGGCAAAAGCTGGAAGCATTTCCTTTGAAAACTGGAACAAGACAAGGATGCCTTCACTCACCACTCATATTGAATATATTACTGGAATTCCTGATGTGGGCAATCAGGCAAGAGAAAGAAATAAAGGGTATTCAAATAGAAAGAGAGGAAGTCAAATTGTCTCTCTTTGCAGATGACATGATTGTATATTTAGAAAACCCCATTCTGTAAGCCCCAAATCTCCTTAAGTATATAAGCAACTTCCACAAAGCCTCAGGATACAAAATCAATGTGCAAAAATCACAAGCAATCCTGTACACCAATAAAAGACAGAGAGCCAAATCATGGGTGAACTTCCATTCACAATTGCTACAAAGAGACGAAAATACCTAGGAATACAACTAACAAGAGATGTGAAGGACCTCTTCAAGGAGAACTACAAACTACTGCTCAAGAAAATAAGAAAGGACACAGACAAATGGAAAAACGTTCCATACTAATGGATAGGAAAAATCAATGTCGTGAAAATGGCCATACTGCCCAAAGTAATTTATAGATTCAATGCTATCCTCATCAAGCTACCACTGACTTTCTTCACAGAAGTAGAAAACACTACTTTAAATTTCATATGAAACCAAAAACAACCCATATAGCCAAGACAATTCTAAGCAAAAAGAATAAAGCTGGAAGTATCATGCCACCTAACTTCAAATTATACTACAAGACTACAGTAACCAAAGCAGCATGGCAATGGTATGAAAACAGATATACAGACCAATGGAGCAGAACAGAGGCCTCAGATATAACACCACACATCTACAACCATCTGATCTTTGAGAAACCTAACAAAAACAAGCAATAAAAAATGCATTCCCTATTCAATAAATTGTGTTAGGAAAACTGGCTAGCCATATGCAGAAAACTGCAACTGGACCCCTTCCTTATACCTTATAAATAAGACTTTTAAAAATATTATAACTACTAATTTAACTAATGACAAATATTATAATAAATTAAAAGGAAAGTATTAATAAATGAAAAAAATATATGGGTGATTCAAACAATAATTTTTTGATTAGCTTGATTTTTAAAAATGCTTTCCCTTCCCTATAACCTCAACCCCTGCTATCCCTCTTTTAGTCTCCCACCCCCCGACAGTCCCCAGCATGTGATGTTCCACTCCCTGTGTCCATGCATTCTCATTGTTCAAAACCCACTTATGAATGAAAACATGTACTGTTTGCTTTTCTGTTCTTGTGTCAGTTTGCCGAGAATTATGGTGTCTAGCTTTATCCATGTCCCTGCAAAGGACATGAACTCATCCTCTTTTATGACTGCATAATATTCGATGGTGTATATGTGCCACATTTTCTTTATCCAGTCTATCATTGATAGGCATTTGAGTTGGTTCCAAGTCTTTGCTACTATGAACAGTTCCACAATAAACATACATGTGCATGTGTCTTTATAATAGAATGATTTATAACCCTTTGGGTATATACCCAGTAACGGGATTTCTGGGTCAAACAGTATTTCTATTTCTATATCCTTGGTTTTCCTTGACTTGCAGTTGCATTACTCCAATCTCAGCCTCCATCTTCATATCACCTTCCCCTCCTTGTTTATTATTATTATTATTATACATTAAGCTCTGGGATACATTTGCAGAATGTGCCAGTTTGTTACATAGGTATATGCATGCCATGGTGGTTTGCTGCACCCATCAACCCATCATCTACATTAGATATTTCTCCTAATGCTATCCCTCCCCTAGTCCCTTAACCTCTGACAAGCCCCAGTGTGTGATACTCCCCTCCCTGTGTCTATGTTTTCTTGTTGTTCAACTCCAACTTATGAGTGAAAATATTTTGAATTTGGTTTTCTATTCCTGTGTTAGATAGCTGGGAATGATGATTTCCAGCTTCATTCATGTCTGCAAAGGACATGAATTCATCCTTTTTTATGGCTGTATAGTATTCCATGATTTATATGTGCCACATTTTCATTATCCAGTCTATCTTTGATGGGCATTTGGGTTGGTTCCAAGTCTTTGCTATTATAAACCATGCTGAAATAAACATACATGTGCATTTATATTAGAGTGATTTATAATTCAGTAAAGCCAGTTATGGGATTGCTGGTTCAAATGGTATTTCTGGTTCTAGATCCTTGAGGAATCACCACGCTGTCTTCCCCAATGGTTGAACTAATTTACACTCCCAGCAACAGTAGAAAAGCATTTCTATTTCTTTTTTTTTTTCCCTATGATCAGTTGACGTCATTCCTATTTCTTTACATCTTCTCCAGCATCTGTTGCTTCCTGAATTTTTAGTGATCGCTATTCTAACTGGCATGAGATGGTATCTCATTGTGGTTTTGATTTGCATTTCTCTAATGACCAGTGATGGTGAGCTTCTTTTCTTGTTTGTTGCTTGCATAAATGTCTTCTTTTGAAAAGTGTCTGTTCATATCCTTTGCCCACTTTTTGATGGGTTCTTTTCTCTTTGTAAATTTGTTGTTCTTTGTAGACTCTTGATGTTAGCTCTCTGACAGATGGATAGATTGAAAATAATGTTCTCCCGTTTTGTAATTTACCTTCTCACTATGATGATAGTTTCTTTTGCTGTTCAGAAGCTTTTTAGTTTAATTAGATCCCATTTGTTAGCCAATCAGGTTTTAGTTTAGATTGTGAGGTCTGGCTCCAGCAAACGGAGATCAGACACAGCAGTAAGGACAACCCCAAATGCATAAGGAATAAATTTGTCTGTTTTCCTTTATTCATTGTACTCTCAGGGCAAGATGGCTAGTGGGAGTACGCTTCTGCAGTCCAGGAAGTAAAAATTACATTGCCGAAAGATCATTTGTCTTAGTGCAAATTTTCTTTGTGGCACCAAGCACCTATTTCCAACACTAAGTAAGAAAAATCAGAGATCAAAATTTATAAAATCAGAGATGAAAACAGAGAAATTTCTACAGATACTGAAGAAATTTAAAGGATCATTGGAGGTTCTTAGGGGCAGCTATGCACCAAGAAATTGGAAAACCTAGAAAAAAATGGACAAATTTCTAGACATGTATAACTTAAAAAGATGGAAACATTATGAAATCCAAAACTCAACAAATCAATAACAAATAATGAGATCAAAGTAATAATACAAAGTCTTTCAAAAAAGGAAAACCCAGGACCTGACAACTACTCTGTTGAATTTTACTGAATATTTTAAAAAGAACGAATACAAATCCTAGTGAAACTATTCTGAAAAATACAGAAGAAAATACTTACAAATTCATCCTATGAGGCCCAAACCAAATAAGGCCATGTTGTGATACCAAAGCCAGACAAAGACACATCAAGAAAACTACAAGGCAATATCTCTGATGACCAATAATGCAAATATCATTAACAAAATACAATAAACTGGAATTCAAACATCATGATCAAGTGGGATTTGTCCCAGGGATGCAAAGACAGTTCAACTTAGAAAGTTCATTCAGTGTTATATATCATATCAACAGAATAAAGGGCAAAAAGAATAGTCATTCCAATTGATGCTGAATAAGCAATTGAAAAAAATTCAACCCTCCCTCATGATAAAAACACTAAAATAACTGAAGATAGAAGAAACATACCTCAACATAGGAAAAGCCATATTTGACAGACAAATAGCTAGTATCATACTTAATGGGGAAAAACTAAAAGCCTTTCCTCTAAGATCTGATACAAGACAATGATGCCTACTTTTACCTCAGTTGTTCAACGTAGTACTGGAAGTCTTTTCTAAAGCAATCATACAAGAGAAAGAAACAAAAGGCATCTGAATTGGAAAGAAAGAGGTCAAATTATACTTCTTTGTTGAAAATATAATCTTATCTGAAGACTCCACCAAAAAACTATGGAACAAATAAAAAGATTTAGTAAAATTGCAGAATATAAAATCAGCATACAAAAGTCAGTAGAATTTCTAAATGACAGCAGCAAACAATGTGAAACTGGTACCCTATCTCTTGTCATATACAAAACTGAATTCAAATGCATTAATGCCTATGACTTCAAACTATAAAGCCACTAAAATAAAATAACAGAGAAATCCCAGAATATTGTACTGGGAAAAGATTTCTGGAGTAATAGCCTACCAGTAGAGATAACCAAATGAAATATGAACAAATAGGATCACAACAAGCTAGAAAGCTTCTGCATAGCAAAGGTAACAATCAACAAAGTAAAGAGACAACCCACACAATGGGAAAAACTATATGAAAATTAAACAATTTACTCCTGAATAACTCATGGATGAACAATGTAATTAAGGCAGAAATTAAAAATTAGGAAGGGATCCAAGATGGCCAAATAGGAATATCTCTGGAGTGCAGCTCCCAGTGAGAATGCAGAGGGTGAGTCATCACCGCATTTTCAAACGAGTTTTTACTGCCCAGAGACCAGGACATTCCCGGGCAGAAAAGCGCCACAAGTCTCCAGCACAGCTGTTTGAGCCAGTGCAGTGGGTCTCCGAACAAAAACTCACACAAATCTGAGTGGCAGTTTCAACTGGTGCCTGGAATTTCTGGGAGACAGAGCTGCCCATTCAACTGAAAAAAAGGGGGCTGAAACAGGAAGTCAGGTGATCTGGCTCAGCAGGTCCCACCTCCACAAAGACCAGCAATCTGAAACCCTCTGGATTGAGAGTTTCACAGAAAGTACAGCTGGACCCGAGGAGATCCAGTTCTGTGGGGAAAAGAGCGTCCACCATTACCGAGGCAGTCCACCACGACAGAGGCAGTCTGTCATTACCGAGGCAGTCTGCTGTTACCGAGGCAGTCCATGATTACTGAGGCAGTCTGCCATTACCGAGGCAGACCACCATTACTGAGGCAGACTGCCATTACTCAGGAAATTCTAACTATACCTCTATAAACAAAACTGCAAGGAAGTTCACACAGCAGCTGGGCAGAGACCACAGCAGCTCAGCAACACCTCTGCTGGCAGACTGTGACTAGGCTACCCCCTTGCTGGGCAGAGCATCTCTGAAAAAAGGCAGCAGCACATCAGGAACTTATAAATAAAGCGCCACCTTCCCAGGACAGAGCACCTAAGAAAAAAAGACAGTTATGAGTTCCACTGCAGCAGACTTAAACATACCTGCCTAGCATCTCTGAATGGAACAAGGAGCTCACAGCTCAGCACTTGCGCTCCTATAAGGGACAGACTGTATCCTCAAGCAGCTCCTCGACCCCTGTATATCTAAAGAGACACCTCATAAAGGGGAGCTCAGGCTGACATCTGGTGGGTATCTTTCTGGGACAAAGATAACAGAAGTTTGTCTTGGCAGCAACCCTTACTGTTCTGCAGCTGCTGCAGGTGATCCCCAGGCAAGCAGGGTCTGGAGTGGACCTCCAGCAGTCCTACTGCAGAGGGTCCTGATTGTTAGGAGGAAAACTAAAAAACTGAAAGAAATATCTTCATCATCAAAAAAAAGGAGGACCACTCAGAGACCACATCCGAGAGTCACCAACTACAAAGACCACAGGTAGATAAATCCACAAAGATGGAAAGAAACCAGCACAAAAAAGATGAAAACACCAGAAAACAGAATGCCTCTCCTCGTCCAAGGGATCACAGCTCCTCACCAGCAAGGGAACAAGGCTGGATGGAAAATGAGTCTGATGAATTGACAGAAACAGGCTTGAGAAAGCGGTTAATAACAAACTTCTCTGAGATAAAAGAACATGTTCTAACTCAATACGAAGAAACGAAGAACCTTGAAAAAAGGTTAGACGAAATGGTAAGGAGAATAAACAGCTTAGAGAAGAATATAAATGACTTGATGGAGCTGAAAAACACAACACGAGAACTTCGTGAAGCATACACAAGTTTCAATAGCTGAATCAACCAAGCAGAAGAAAGGATATCAGAGATTTAAGATAAACTCAATGAAATAAAATGAGAAGGCAAGATTAGGTAAAAAAAAGAGTAAACAGAAATGAACAAAGCCTGCAAGAAATATGGCATTATGTGAAAAGACCTAATCTACGTTTCATAGGTGTACCCAAATGTGATGGAGAAAATGAATCCAAGCTGGAAAATGTTCTTCAGAATATTATCAAGGAGAACTTCACCAACCTAGTAAGGCAGGCCAATATTCAAGTCCAGGAAATACAGAGAACACCACAAAGATATTCCTCAAGAAGAGCAACCCCAAGGTACATAACCCTCAGATTCACCAGGGTTGAAATGCAGGAAAAAACGCAGAGGGCAGCCAGAGAGAAACGTCAGGTTACCCACAAAGGGAAGCCCATCAGACTCACAGCAGATCTTTCAGCAGAAACCCTACAAGCCAGAAGAGAGAGGGGGATAATATTCAACATCCTTAAAGAGAAGAACTTTCAACCTAGAATTTCATATTCAGCTAAACTAAACTTCAAAAGCAAACGAGAAATAAAATCCTTTATGAAGAAGCAATTGCTCAGAGATTTCATCACCACCAGGCCTGCTTTACAAGAGGTCCTGAAAGAAGCACTAAACATAGAAAGGAACAACCAGTACCAGTCACTCCAAAAATGAAGAAACTGTGTCAACTGAAAGGCAAAACAGCGAGCTAGCATCAAGATGGCAGAATCAAATTTACATATAACAATATTAACCTTAAATGTAAATGGGCTAAATGCCCCATCAAAGGCACAGACTGGTAAATTGGATAAAAAGTCAAAACCTATCATTGTGCTGTATCCAGGAAACCTATCCCAAGTGCAAGGATACACATAGGCTCAAAATAAAGCGATGGAGAAAGATTTACCAAGCAAATGCAGAGTAAAAAAAAAGCAGGAGTTGCAATCCTAGTCTCTGATAAAATACACTTTAAACTAACAAAGATGAAAAGAGACAAAGAAGGACATTACATAATAGTAAAAGGAACAATGCAACAAGAAGAGCTAACAATCCTAAATATAAATGCACCCATTACAGGAGCACCCAGATACATAAAGCAGGTTCTTAGCAATGTAAAAAAGAGACTTAGACTCCCACACAATAATAGTGGGAGACTTTAACACTCCACTATCAATATTAGACACGTCAAGGGAGAAAATTAACAAGGATATCCAGGACTTGAATTCATATTTGGACCAAGCAAACCTAATAGACATTTACAGAACTCTCCACCCCAAATCCACAGAATATACATTCTTCAGAGCACCACATCACAGCTAGTCTAAAATTGACCACATCAATGGAAGTAAATCTACTCAGCAAATGCAAAAGAACATAAATCATTATAGTCTCTCAGACCACAGTGCAATCAAATTAGAACCCAGGATTAAGAAACTAACTCAGAACTGCACAACTTCATGGAAACTGAACAACTGGATCTTAAATGTTGACTGCATAAACAATGAAACGAAGGCAGAAATAGAGATGTTCTTCAAAACTAACGAGATTGAAGACACAACATACCAGAATGTCTGGGACACATTTAAAGCAGTGTCTAGAGGAAAATTTTTAACAATAAATTTCCACATGAGAAGAAAGGAAGATCAACACCCTATCATCAATATTGAAGGAGCTAGAGGAGCAAGATTATAAAAACTCAAAAGCTAGCAGAAGACAAGAAATACCAAAGATAAAAGCGGAGCTGAAGGAGATAGAAACACAAAGAAACCCTTCCAAAAAATCAATAAATCCAGAAGCTGGTTATTTGAAAAGATCAACAAAATAGACAGACCACTAGTCAGATTAACAAAAAATAAATGAGAGAAGAATTAAACACATGCAATAAAAAAAGATAAAGGGGATATCACCACAGATTCCACAGAAATAAAAAGCTTCATCAGAGATTACCACAAACAACTCTATGCACATAAACCAGTAAACCTGAAAGAAATGGATAAATTCCTGAACACTGTCACCCTCCCAAGACTAAACCAGGAAGAAGTAAAAACCCTGAATAGACCAAAAACAAGAGCTGAAGTTGAGGCAGGAATAAATATTCTATCACTCAAAGAAACCCCAGGTCCAGATGGGTTCACAGCCGAATTATATCTGATGTACAAAGTGGAGATGGTACCACTCCTTCTGAAATTATTCCAAACTATCCAAAAAAGAGGGAATCCTTCCCAAATCATTTTAAGAGACCAACATCATCCTGATACCAAAACCCGGCTGAGACTCAACAAGAAAAGAAAACTTCACGCCAATATCCATGATGAACACATATGCAAAGGTTTTCAATAAAATACTGGCAAACTGATTGCAACAGCACATCAAAAAGCTTATCGATAATGATCAAGTAGGCTTCATCCCGGGGATGCAAGGCTGGTTCAACTTACACAAGTCTGTAAACATAATTCACCACATAAACAGAACCAAAGACAAAAACCACATGATTATCTCAATAGATATAGAGAAGGCCTTCTACAAAATTCAACAGCCCTTTACGCTAAAAACCGTCAGGAAACTACGTATCAAAGAAAGGTATCTCAAAATAATAAAAGCTATGTGAAACAAATCCTCAGCCAATATAATACAGAATGGGCAAAAACTGGAAGCATTCCCTTTGAAATCTGGCACTAGCCAAGGATGCCTTCTCTCACCACTCCTATTCAATATGGTATTGGAAGTTCTAGCCAGAGTAATCAGGCAAGAAAAAGAAATAAATGTATTTAACTAGGAAAGGAGGTAGTCAAATTGCCTGTATTTGCAGATGACATGATTGTGTATTTAGAATACACCATCATCTCAGCCCCAAATCTCCTGAAACTGATAAGCAACTGCAGCAAAGTCTCAGGATGCAAAATCAAGGTGCAGAAATCACAAGCATTCCTATACACCAATAACAGACTTAAAGAAAGCCAAATCAAGAACAAACTGCCATTCACAATTGCTACAAAGACAATAAAATACCTAGGAGTACAACTGACAAGGAACGTAAAGGACCTCTTCAAGGAGAACTACAAACCACTGCTCAACAAAATAAGAGAGGACACAAAGATGGAAAAACATTCCATGCTCATGTTTAGGAAGAATCAATATTGTGAAAATGGCCATAGTGCCCAAAGTAATTTATAGATTCAACGATATCTCCATCAAGCTACCAATGACCTTCTTCACTGAACAGGAAAAAAACACCTTAAACTTCATATGGAACCAAAAGAGACCCCGCATAGCCAAGTTAATTCTAAGCAAAAAGAAGAAAGCTGGAGGCATCACGCTACCTGACTTTAAACTATGCTACAAGGCTACAGTAATCAAAACAGCATGATACTGGTACCAAAACAGAGATATAGACCAATGGATCAGAACAGAGGCCCCAGAGGCAACACACACATCTACAACCATCTGATCTTTGACAAAACTGACAAAAACAAGCAACGGGTAAAAGATTCCCTATTTAATAAATAGCATTTGGGAAACTGGCTAGCCATGTGCAGAAAGCAGAAACTGGACCCTTTCCTGACACCTTACACTAAAATTAACTCCAGATGGATTAAAGACATAAACATAATACCTAACACCATAAAAACCCTAGAAGAAAACTCTGGCAAAACTATTCAGGATGTAGGCATAGGCAAGGACTTCATGACTAAAATACCAAAAGCATTGAAAGTAAAAGCCAAAATAGACAAGTGGGATCTAATTAAACTCCAGAGTTTCTGCACAGCAAAAGAAACAATCATTATAGTGAACTACCAGCAAACAGAATAGGAAAAAATTTTTGCAATCTACCCATCTGACAAAGGGCTGATATCCAGAATCTATGAAGAGCTAAAACAGATTTACAAGAAAAAAACAAACAAGCCCATTCAAAGTGGGTGAAGGATATGAACAGGCGCTTTACAAAAGAAGACATATGTGAGGGCAACACACATAAGAAAAAATGCTCATCATCACTTCTAATTAGAAAAATGCAAATCAAAATTACATTGAGATATCATCTCATGCCAGTTAGAATGGTGAACATTAAAAAAATCTGTAGACAACAGATGCTGGAGAGGATGTGGAGAAATAGGAACACTTTTGCACTGTTGGTGGAAGTGTAAATTAGTTCAACCATTGTGGAAGACAGTGTGGCGATTTCTCAAGGACCTAGAAATACAAATTTCACTTGACCCAGCAATCCCATTACTGGGTATATATCCAAATGATTAAAAATCATTTTATTATAAAAAGTTTATCCACCATGATCAAATAGGATTCATCCCGGGGATGCAAGGATGCTTCAACATACACAAGTCTATAAATATAATGCATGATATAAACAGAACCAAAGACAAAAATCACATGATTATCTCAATTGATGAAGAGAAGGCCTTTGACAAAATTCAACAGCCCTTTATGCTAACAACCCTCAAAAAACTAGGTATTGATGAACGTATCTCAAAATAATAAAAGCTATTTACAACAAACCAA